CCTCTGGAATATATGTGGTGCTAAGCCCAAGTACATGTTAAATGTTCCTGCAATTGCTGTTTATGTGGCTAATTAACTCAGCAGCAGCACAGGGCCATGCTTGTGGTGTAGGTTCAGGGAGAGGGTCTGTATCTAGGTTATGCACTTGAACACGAGCCAATTACTGCATCTCTCCGGGCCTCATTTTCCTCACTTGCCCATTGAGGTTAAGCCCTGTAAGGTTTTTGAAACATTAAGGGAGAAAATCCATATTAAAAGCTTGGTGCATGCAAAAGGCATTTAGTTAACACTGGATACTAATATCTTCATGGTACAGAGGGGCAGAGGCAGACTGATTGGGCCATGTCACAGTGTTAGTGACCCATGAATTAGTGACCACACAGCAGCGAGGAATCGGGATGGACCTGGAAGCAGAAAACGCCTTCCTGGCTCAAACACAGTGACAGCCTCTCTGCAATCCAGCAGGCTCCTGGGTTGGGCTAGAGGGCAGAGAACAGTTTCTCCAGGGAGTCAGCTCACTGAACCACTGATCACTGGCCTGCAGCCTCAGTGTCAGACTCAGGGGGCTGGAGGGAGGGGTTGAGACGTGCACTACTCTCAAGTTCCCAGGGGCCACCCTTTGAGAACCCCCAAACCAAGCAGTTAACTCTGATGCGAGACAAGGGCCAGTCAGGAGAAGCTTCCTGGGGGTGAAGGTCATTGAGGCAAGCCTGCTTGCAGGATGACAAAGAGAAGGCAGAGGGAACCAGGACCCAGAGGTGTGTGGGTGCCCAGTATGTGCTGGCAAAGGCAGGTGATGAGGCTGACAGGTCTCCAGGCTCCGCAGGTGCAGGCGGCACAGCATGAAGGGGGGTCAGGGAGGGACCAGGTGAGAGAACAGGGAGATGTCTGGGGACAAGAACAGACACCAGCGGGACCTTCCGCCCAGGTGAGCCTCACTCCCTTTAAAGTCTGGGGCTTTCTTCTGTGAGACTATTTTCAAACTAGGAATTGAGACCCATGATTTCCAAAGACATCGAAGGAAATAGTGGGTGCAATCAACATTAAAAAAAAAAAATGAATTAGAAGAGAATAAAATCTTAAAAACCCAAAGCCCCCTCATCGTTGGTAACAATGCATAGAACAAGGGTTTTGTTTCATCACATCTGTTTCAGGTGTGTGTGCAGATGTGTCCTGCATCAGGTCACCCATGAGTTACAGTCAAGGTTGGACAACCAGGGCTCTGTGCGGCCTTCTGTTCACCCACCCAGGCCCAATGGCTCTATCCGCCAGGCACACACCCATTCGGGCCTCTGAAACAGGACATGGGCCCTGTGGAACCCGGGCAGGAAAGGCTGAGAGGAGGTGGAGGATGGTTAAACCCAAGATTTTTAACGAGGGAGAGATGAGCTGAAATGGGGCGGTCAGGGAGACTTTCAGAGATGCTTGAGTGTGACCTTGCAGGGCGGCTCAGGTTCTGACGCCAGAGCTGCTGGGAAGAGGGAAGAGACCACCTCGAGTAAAGACAGGAATGAAGTTGCCAAAAAGCACTGGGAACCAATAGTCAGGATGTAAGAAGGCAAATAAGGTTTTAAGAAGCACCCTGAAGCTCAATGGAGATACTGACTCCAAACAGCTTGGGGAGGCCTCAAATATCCAGTGACAAATCCAGTTAGAGCTGAGGAAGCCGAGGCCTGTCTGCCCAGCACCTGCCTGGGACAGGGACACAGGCCTGGGAGGTGTCAGTGCTGCTCGGGCCAGCCAGGCCCAACCACAGGCCGGAAGGCTGAGCTCCAGCTGGCCCGTCAGGCCTCAGGAACCTTTCCTGGCAGGAGAGTAGGTCAGACCCAGACTGATGGACCCTGCCTAACCCCCCTTCCCCACACCAGGTGAGAAACAGCCCCTGAGCTAGAAACCCTGGAAGCACCAACCCCATGCCTTTTAGTTCTACCAAATGTCAGCAAATGATTGTCAAGAATCTTCCTGACACTGTGACTGCGACCGAGTTTGCAAAAATAAATAAGGAAATACATAGTTCCTTTGTCTTTCATGGGGGTAGTTCTCTATCCAGCCTGCAATTCTCATCGGCTCCGCACCCATGTGTCTCCGTGCTTACGACCTGCATGTGTTCAAGTCTTGTTAGGCTCTGATGGTCTCCTTTCACACACTAAGAAACAGCTCCAGGGAGGTTCTGCATTTTGCTCAAGGTCACCAAGCGGAAGGCCCCAGGGTGGCCAAGGGCTCCCACCTGCTGCTCCTTTTATCAGATGTCCCGCAGTTCAGAAGCGACACAAAAACTCACCTTGTGTTTGTGGTGGCGTCAAAGCCCAGCCATTTCTCAGTGCGGATATGTTTGCTGGTCGATTTTCCATCCGATAAGTTGCCCTATTCTATGGAAAGGATACTTCCATGTCTAGAAAACTGCTCAGAAATTCATATGGAAGCCGAAACTGATTTGGCTCAGTGGATAGAGCAACAGCCTATGGACTGAAGGGTCCCAGGTTTGATTCCGGTCAAGGGCATGTACCTTGATTGCGGGCACATCCCCAGTGGGGGGCGTGCAAGAGGCAGCTGATTGATGACTCTCATCTGTTTCTATCTCTCTCCCTTCCTCTCTGTAAAAAAATCAGTAAAATATATATTTTTTTAAAAAGTAATTCATAGGGAAAAAATGATGGCAAACTTTGAAGAAGAGCATGTGTAAAAGCCGAAGTCACTGCTGCTGTCCTCTTTCCTTCAACTGTCTGAATGCCACTGAGGCTGAATTTTCAGTGTGGACAGAGAGGCGGTGTGCGGGCCACACTGCATGGCTAATTGCACAAGATTCTCACACTTCTTTCCAGGCTACATATGTGTGTGTAACATCCACAGCCACATCTTATTTCTTCCCATACACCTTAGTTGAGGCAGAAAAGGGATAAACAGCAAATGCTGTTGTGAATACCCTTCCAAAATGGTAATTATTGCATCATTATGTCGCTATTTTACTTGTCATGTACCATTAGAAGGTAACAAGATCATTGTCAGTCAAAGGCTGTGGAGATAATTAGAGCATCTATAGGTTAGCAGGGAATCAGATCGGTGCCGGTGCCCATCAGTGCCGAGGAGCTGAACATAATTAGAGGGGAAATATGCAAAGGATGAGGCGAATCAAGCCCCTGGGATTAAATACCGTGACTGATTTTGAGAGGTGACTCCTCCATGTCCTGACATTGCAGGTGGCGGCAGGAAAGGAGGTGTACACAGAAGGCAGTGAGGTCTGCAGAGACAGCGACCCGACAGTCACAGTGAGTGTCCCCGAGAATCGCCTGATTTGGGGAAACGGTGTTTATTAGGTTTTCCAATCCACTGGTTTTTCTTCAAGTTATTTTCCCTGGTCTGAGAGTCAGGTACTAATACATAAAAGGGAAACCGAGGGAAGTGGGTGTTAGCCAAGCAGTCCCTGCTCTACCGGCCATCAACTTTCCAAGCTGGCAAGGCGGTTGCCTCACCCAGATCTTCCCCACGCCCCACTCACCCCGTGGAGCCGCAGGGGCCCAGGGCACCCTCCCATCACGAGTCTCGGCTCCTGGATCGCACCCCCTTTCACTGCTAACACCCACTCAGCAGCCACCCATGTCCCACTCCCCTGGACTGCTTTCCTTGTTGTTCTCCAGTCACATACAAACATGCACTGAGTCTGTCCATCCAAACAGAAACCTCATCAGGCCAACACAGTACAATTTAATAATTTCTCCATCTTAGAAAAACAAAAACAAAAACATAAAACCAATTTGAGGATGAGGCTGAAGTCTGCCAACTGATGAGGGATGTGCCATGTCATTCAGCAAGACAAAGAAAAAAGTTGACAAGGAAAAAATGTCTGCAAGGTCTCAATCAACACCAGAGTCCCCAGGGTGAGATGCAAAGGGATGGGCACACACAGTGGCCAGAAGCCAGTATCTGGTTGGTCACCAACGCAGAGAAAGCAAATGCTGAGCAGGCCTATTTGCTAACCTGGCCTACAGGGGCCCACCTCCAATCCAGAAGTACCTTCCCCAATGCAGTCTTTTGCTTAGAATAGAAAAGGTCCTACAACTGACCGGAGCCTGAACCTCTATAGAAACACGGTGGATGCCTGGGTGGGGCAGCCAGTAGGCGGGGCCACCTCCGCTGTCACTCTGCTGGGCCCCGGGAGGCTCAGAGTCAGGGCCTGCGAGCAGGGCTCCTCCCCGAGGCCGGATGGCCAGCTCACACAGACAAGCAGCTGAAAGCTTCGTTCACATTTTTTAATAACATGGCACAGTTTACATTACACAAGAAGGCTCCGCCGCTGAGAACATGCTGAAGTCAGTCGCTTCACGTTTCTGTTCACATAGGGTCTAGAAAGGACTTTTATTACATACAGGAGAAACAGCAAAAGGTCCGTATAGAACAATCTCTTTACAATACTGAAGCTACCACTACAGTTCCAGTGTACATATTCCTTGGATTCTTTTTCCTTTTTTAGTTGTTGTCTTAAAAAAAAAAAAAAAAAAAAAAAAAAAAAAAGCCAAAAAGAAAAACCACTGCACAACATCTGGAGTTCACAAAATTCTGAAGCTCACAACTAAACCTTCAGTTTACTACTAAAATAGATCTCTCTGCTTATTAGAAACAATGGTCTGTAGTTAACTTTTTTTTTCTCTCCAAAAACAGGATAACAACGTCAGATAGCACTTTAATATACTAGAAGACCAATGGAACTAATTTTATTTCGTACATATATTTTACAGTCCAGTAGACAAGATATATTGTATTTCTCTGCTAGTAAAGTCATATTCTCTCCAAATATGTAGACAAGAGGCTTAATGCGTTATAAAAGTATCATGAAGAGACATTAAGATTGATGCAAACTTAAAAACACACGCACACACACAAGACTTTGTCTCAGCCACCTTCCACCCTCGGCAACGCCCCGTGGCTCCGCAGGGCTCCCAGACCTTATCACCGACTAGAACACAGGCAGTCACGTTAGGAGACGTGCCCCTTTGATCTGTTGGTTACTGAATAGTGAAAACATATCCATCATCTGAGAAAACGCAAAGCTTTCTTTCAGGATCTGTTTGGGTGTGACTGAATCTCATTACAAAACGGGGAAGTGTGTACGGGTAGGAAATAGGACACACTTTAAAAAAAGCATGGTTCCCACAGGAGGTATGTGTGAAATCACATGACTGGTGGTGATGAGATGCTGGCAACCTGTTTGTGTCCCCCGATTTTGGTATCTGACCACGCCTGGCCTCCCCACACCGGCTGCTTGTGACCCCTGACCTCTCTGGGGCCACTCTCTGCCCCGGCAGCCCACAAGCAGGAACTTTTAGAGCCAAAATGTCGGCCTGGGGTCCAATTTGCAAAAGAGGATGTTTCTCCATTTGAAAAAATAAGCAAGGAAAACAGAGTCCTATCACATAAGCGCTTGTTCAGGGAAAATATGACCTTAAGTATGTTGTAAATGGATCTGAAAAGGCTCCGTTGAGTTGGGTGGGCTTTTGTGGAAAGCCTGAACATTCATTGCATAGTTGAAGGGTTTAGCTGTCTCTAACAATACAGGGGAACCCAGCCTCGCAGACCGCGTTCACTGAGATTAAGTTTGCAAAGAGCACGTTTTAAGAAGTATTAATGTATTATGTTACTTAATCTTTACCTATTTACATTTGTACAAAGTAAAGCTTTCATCTTACCCTTTTGCATATATGAACCCTTAGCTCATGAAGCAATCTTTTTTTCTTTTCTTTTTTTTTTTTACACAACTATGTACAAGGCCTTCCCTTCTCATCTGAAAGAGCTTGCACGGTGGGTCGTGCGGACTGCTGTCTGTTTTCTCCCCAATGAACACATCAGCGTGTGTTGTCATCTTCAAGGTTTTGGTTCAAAATCAAAAAAGTTTTTATACGAGAAAAAAAACCAAAAGGGTTGGACACATGAGAACGTATGACTTGGCTAAAATATCTGAAAAATTTCAACATAGAATATACAAAAAGACATTTCAAAATCTGCACTGAGTCTATACATTGTGTACAGGGAGAGCTGGGGCTCCTGCCCCCCCTCCCCCCAAGTCCGTTAGGGATGCAGGCGCCCGCTGGCTCCCTCCGCTCCGAGTCCGGCGCCGTTGGGGAGCCTCCTCTTCCGCGGCCTGTTCCCTCCTTATCGTGCTTCGATGTCCTTCAGGGTGTGGGAAGGCGGCCTCTCCCTCATCTCCGCCGCCAGAGGGGTAGTCCTCCTGGGGGACACTGGGCGGCCCCCCAGCGTGGAGATGAGCGGGGGCGGCGCGCTGAGGGCGGCGGTGGGCGGCGTCTTGTTGAGCAGTCCGTTCTGGTGGCCCGCGGTGGGGCTGATGCGGGGGTAGTGCATGCTGGGGAGCCCCGGCGTGAGGAGGCCGGGGTGCGGCAGGTGCCCGTCCAGCGAGGCGGGGTGCACGGGGTGCAGCCGCGAGTGCTCGTAGTCCTCCCGGAGCAGGTGCAGGCGCTCCCGCTCGTCCAGGTGCGCGCCCCGCTCATGCTCGCGCCGCGGGTCCACGGACAGCGGGTGGTGGTGGTGGTGGTGGTGGTGGTTGTAGTCGTGGGGCTCCCGGTCTCGGAAGGAGCGGTCGGCCTCGTACAGCCGCGGGGTGGAGAGACGGTGGAGGGGGTCGTTCCTCAGCAGGAAGTCTCTGCCCAGCGGGTCTCTCCGGTGGATGTCCAGTTCTCGGTAGGGATCCCTCAGGGGGTCCCGGATGGGGTCCCAGTGGAAAGAGGGGTACGGGAACCGCTCTCCGCCCGGGATGGGGCTGATGCCCATGAAGGGCGTCATCATGCGTGTCCTGTCCAGGCTGCCGATGCTGTTCATGGGGTGGATGCCCGTCACCCCCACCGCCATGGGCATGGAGGCCAGGGGCCCCGGGTGCACGCCGGCCGAGGAGTGGGGAGGCGGCGGCTCCGAGGCCCGGTGGGGCGGCGCGGCCTCGGCGGGGAGGTCGTGGTCTTCCTTGCGCTCCTCCTTGACCTTGACCTCCGAGCTCTTCTTGGGGTTCTCGTAGGCCGGCTCGCCCTTGCGAGGCTCGGCCTCGCGGCTCGAGGTGCTGTTGGGCCTGGCGCCCTCCACGGCAGGGGCCCGCGCGTAGGGCGACGGCCCCCGGGCCAGCTGCTTGGCCTCTTCGCCCATGGCCCGCCCCTCGTGGCCGTGGCCGTCCTTCTCGGGCAGGTGGCCCTCCTTCGCCTTGTGCTCCTCCGCGGTCAGGTCCTTGCGGGACTCCGAGTGGTCCCTCTCCCTCTCTTTGGGTTTGTCTTTCTCGCGAGCCTCAGTGTTCAAATGACCCCTGATCTGTTCGGCGGAGCCACGGGCGTGTCCCAGGGCACTCACCGGGAGGACAGGCGCTGGTGAAGGGTGGCTGGAGTGTCTCTTCTCCACACTTTCCCTGCGGGAGGAGAGGGAGACAGGACGCGAGTGAAACGGGCTGGTCGGCCGGCCGGGGCTGCCAATGACATGGCGTGAAAAGGGTGGCTTGGGGCTGGTTCCCACGGTCACCGTGGCAAAGCCAGCCATCTGATCTTCCCTCTTTGCAGAGGAAGCTCAGTGGGGGTGCAGTGCTAGGGGTGAGGGTGAGTGGGGAGTCTCCGGGAAAACCATTCTCTGTATGTAAGAGTCAGGGGCCTCACCAAGACCACAGAGGAAGCGCTTTCAGAAAGCCAGGCGACCTGTGGATGAGGGACGGGCCACACTGCCCACTGGGCTGGACTCTCAGGACCAGCTGGGGTTGAGAACCAAGTTTTGAGAGCCTAAAGGCAAATATGACCTTCGTCTCTTTGTCACACAGAGCCAGCGGGAGGAAGAGTTTAACGTGACAACTATGGGCATTTCTGTCTCCTGACAGCTGGTTTCAGAGTGAAAAACGTAGACACAGAGCATCTGCAAGATGTGGTATGTGGAGGATTTGAAAGGAAACCACGGTTTCAGGACTGTGGGGCTGCTAAAGGATGTTTGCATTAGGAAAGACAAGAAAGCCAACATCTGATGAGAAGATGGAGAACGCCAGTAGGACAAGCAGGTCCATAGACACAAAACCTCCTGGGGGAATACAGGACAAATTTAAAAGCATCTATGAATGAAAATGTGGAAGAATTCTAGAGGCCTGTCTTGGGTGGGGACTTGAGAATACTGGGCAGAGGAGGCAAAGCATCAGAACGACGAGGAGGTAAAACTTGGAAGAGGGAAGACAGAGTCTGGCAAGACTGAGGGGCCACCCCGGACAGACACGGGGAGCATGAGGGGACAAGCAGGAGGCCACGCTGGCTCAGGAGGCGAGTGGCTTCAGGGAGAATTAAGGTTTTCCTTACAAATTTTGTTTCTAGCACATGTGCACAGGCTAAGAAGAGCACCTTTGAAAGGTAAGATTGAAGGAGTGTGTGTTTTATTAGGTCTCCTGACTTTAATCCAAGACAGCAGTCGCCAACCTTTCGGACCTCGCCGACCACCGGTTGGCAACTGCTGATCAAAGAGCCCATTTGACTCCATCAAGGAAAATGGGAAAGGTTTGCTGCCACCCCTGTTCTCTCTCCAGACAGGTTGTCTATGGAGGCCTCCTGGTCTGGGCAGGTCCCCGCCAGGGTGCCTCACTGTGGCTGTTTACGGCTCAGCGCTGCCTGTACAAATGGTCCTCCCACTGGCCAAGAGGTTTTATCCTACTGCGTCGAAGGAAAACTTATAAGAGAGAATTCAGTTATTAGCATGATGGGCTATGATGATATCTACTAGTCCAGTGGTTGGCAAACGGTGGCTCGCAAGCCACATGAGGCTCGTGAGCCGTGGTTTGTTGCTCTGTTGACTAATGAGTTTGCCGACCACTGTACTAGGTCTGTCACATTTAGAGCTGGCCAAGTTGAACTGTTTTACATTATTTATTTTTAAAAATATATAACTTATTATTTTTTTACAGAGAAGAAGGAAGAGGGATAGAGAGTTAGAAATATTGATGAGAGAGAAACATTGATGAGAGATAAACATCAATCAGCTGCCTCCCGCACACTTCCTATTGGGTTTATGCCTGCAACCAAGGTACAGGCTCTTAACTGGAATCGAACCTGGGACCCTTGAGTCTGCAGGCCGATGCTATAGCCACTGAGCCAAACCAGTTAGAGCGAAGTTGAACTGTGTTAAATCACTACTATACACACACCATACAGTTAAAGAAAAATGGAAGATTTGGACAATACTTGAGTCTTAAGTACCAAAAGGAAACTGTTATTAGATATTTTCTGTCAAGCATATCTTGTGTATTCCTTGCTTATTTAGTTGGTTCAAAATGGAAATAGCCTGAAGGGGGGGAAAAGGAGGGGAAAAAACTATCAAGAATGCTTATGACATCCTTCAGATAAAAAAAACAACACAGCATTTTTCTTTTTTAGGCCTGGGTTACCAAGTATGGAGATAAAAACTATTAGTAAAAATTATCCACCGGCAAAACAAACCCAATCCAATATCACTGCTCATTGATATTCCTCTAAATATAGGTTAGCAAACTTTTATTAGTCATCTGTGAGAGCTAAGGAGTTGAGTTTGAACAAAATTTCAGAAAAATATGATGAGGTTAATGCAAACATGACTTTCTCAAAGGAAAAAAAAAAAAAAACAAAAAGAGAGGAGAAAAGAGAGACCTATGCATGGTTTAATGGGCTGCACACACGGGAAAGCAAACATGGTGTGGACGCATGCTGTGTGTGTCTGTCCGGAGCGCCACCTGGCCCCTGTGTGGAGGGAGAGCCGTGTTGGGACACCTCAGTGCTCGCAGGCAGGGGAGGGTCTGCATGTGTGACTGCGCTGAGGGGGGACTCCCGCTCTGCTAGGGTTCTACTCTGCCACAATGCGCCGTGGGGTGGGGGTGGGGGCGGGAGGGGGTGCGCTCTGGGGAGCCGCGGCCCGGCTGTGTGAAGAGCTGAGGCTACGGGGGCAGCTGAAGCACAAGGCTGGGCGGGGAGGTGGGTGGCTTGGTACTTGGCACAGAGCGGGCTACCCCAGCGGGATCGAGAGCGGTTTCTTTCCGTACCTTTCTTTGTCATCTTTACTAACAGGTGCGTCTCGTTTATCTACATCTCTATCTCTGTCATGAGCTGCAGCGGACGCGCCACGCTCCAGCTCCCCCGGCTTCAGCCAGGGCGGAGGGGTCGGGAACGACGGAGGCGTTCGGTGCAGCCGGTTCCAGGGCTCGTGAGGGTTGCTAAAGTTCTGCACACTGGGGCCATCCTTGTGGCCGAACATTGAGTTGGGTGCTGAAATGGTGAAGTGGAGAACAAAAAGGTTTAAGAGAAATTATATAATCCGCTGTAATGACGGTACTTACCAAAACACGTTTAACAGCATTCAGAGTTAAAATGAATACATATTATTGGGAGCTGGAAAAGGAAAGGAGATTAACAAATTCATTAGAGGAACGTGTCCTATGCTGGAGAGGCAGCTCACAGCTTTTTCTTTCTTTCTTTTTTTTTTTTTTTTTAAAAAAAACCAAATGCCAAGGTGGGGTGAGGGGACGGACAAAAAAGGGCAGGGACCACGCAGATGTCGAGATGACCTGGTGAAACATACCCATGCATGCACAAGTCCCAGCATGCAGAGTGTACAGTGCGATAGGGTGGACTTAACGAAGAACACTCAATTCAGAGTAGAATTCAGGGTCATTCACTACCGACTGCAGCCCTGCTAGTGTGACTGCTCCTCTTCCCACCACGTGAGCAAAGGGGGTTACAGAGAGCTAAAGGCACACAACAGGTCTCCACGCCGGCTAGGGCCACCCGGCCAACACCAGGGAAGAAGACAGACTGGGATGGCGATGGCTGCCTGCGCTGCATTCTATGTCTCTGTACCCGGGACCATGGCGTATGGACGGTGTGAAAGAGAGCGGGTGAGTGCATGCTACCCAGGGGCTATGCGATGTCTAGCAGGTGCAGTGACTCTTCCTGGGGGAGACGGACTTTCTAGCCGTAGAAAACAAGCCAACCCGTCCAGATTATGGAGCAACCCTTCCAGATTATGGAGCAAGCAATGTTTCCAGGTCTTCACTCCCTTGAGCCCGCAGCTGTTTTCCTGCTATTCTTCACCGGGCTTTTTCAAGCCCACCAACGCCCAAAGCAAGAGGAGGTTTGCTTTCCCCTCTAGTGGCTGAGGTCTGGGGTAGCAGAGATGGCATGTGGATGAAACTATGAATTTAAGCAAACTTTTTGGAGTTCAATGAACTACACCACCTTTCCTGACCCTCCGTGAGATGCATTAGCAGTGGGTTATCCTTAAAAAGTTGGTTTGATGTAAATGCACACGTAGGCCTAAAGCCATCGTCTAGACCTGATTTCGCAATGATCAAACCTCAGTTTACTTCCCAAGGGCTTAAGTTTCTTTTTATGTGGAAAGGTCTTGAGCCACAGACAGATTTGAGGAGATAAACAGTGCAAGACGGATGTTAAGGAGTTAGAGGTACTCACTGACTGAAGGGTTTCCAAGTCCCCCGAAGGCATTGCCACCGACTGCGGCCAGGCCGGTGAACGTGGACGGCCGGTTGAAAGGCTCTGCAGACAAGAGCGGGGGGCAGGTCAGGCTGCGTGAGCATGTCGGAGCTTCCGGGAGCCGCGCCCCTGCACTGACCTGCCTGTTCCTCCTCTACCAGGTCATGCGAAGGTTCCCATCGCACCCGGCAGAGGCCCAGTTAGCACAGCATTCACACAAGCTGTGTGCACTCTGTCCATCTCTCTTGTGGGGGCAGTGGAAGGGGATTTGGAAATGTTACCCAAACCACATGTTCTAAGATGCCTCCTGCTGCCTTCCCCTCCCCTGGCCCGGGGGCCTGTGCTCCAGGCTCTAACGGAAGAGAGGTGAGATGACAACTTAAAACAAATCGAGGATGAAATCCTGAAGCCTGACATGTGACAACCCTGTTGTCAGGCACACCTGCCTCTGCTTGCACACTTGCAGAAAATATCAAATCCAGGCCACGAACATGGCGTGCACCTTTGCTAGGAAGAGACACACGACTACGGCGTGAAATGTGAGGTGATGAAGACATAATGGGCAGTGACTCATAAAAGCTTCATCTGGTCTCTCCTTCCAGTGCCAGGAGATGCCCGTCTGTAGGCAAGGGTGAGTTCACCACCTCCTCCAAGGGCAGCACCAGCTGCTGGAAATGTGTCTCCCTGAGGGACCCCAGCTGGTCTCCATCCCCGCACATCAGCCTCCGGCTGAACTCTGAGGCACACGGCACCTACTCTGACTTCCACCAGTCACCGTCCCCTCACCATCCCTCCCTGAGGAGTAAGCAAGGAGGCCAGGATCGCGGCCAGCTTGCCAGGAAGTGCGGCAGGGCCACAGTACAGAGGTTTTCTGAAACACACCCATCACGTCTCGTCCCTGTGAGCAACTCACCTAGGTGAGCAGCAGGGTTGAGGAAGTTGCTGTGATGAGGAGGTGGCCCAAAAGGGGTCCCCGTGGGGTGTGCAGCACCTGTGGAGTCAAACACAGCAGATCAGACCCCCCATGAGGCCAGCGTCTGCAATGCAGCTGGCTCCTAGCGGCCTACCCACCCCAAGAGGGAACATGTGAAGGAAGAACAGGCTAGGGCCACCCAGCCAACACCAGGGAAGAAGACAGACTGACGGACAGTATTAGGATCATCAAGAAACACCCCTGGGGATGGGAGTTGGGGGTTCTATAACCAAAACAGAGGAAATGCCGGGTTAAAAAAATGCCAGGAAAGGCTCTTACTGAAGGAAGGAGAGCCACACTATGCCCACAGCTCACGGCCTCTCCAAGAGGGGTCTCTGACCACAATGGGAGCCCGTCTTCCACTCTGAGAAACGCTGGTATGGACACTACACATCCTAACGCTTGGCTCAGGAGCGGCCACGTGAAGCTGCATGTCTGGGCCCCCAGACTCTTCTCCCAAGACTGTCCCAGGGGACCCAGCCCCACTCTGGACAGCAGTGGATGCCCCCACCCCCTGCACAGAGGCCCACGTCCGGTTTTCCGATGGTCTTAGGCGACCTTGCTAGAGATTCTCAACCTATGGGTTGCAACATAACTGTAATTTTGCTGTTAATGAATCGTAATGCAAATATCAGAAAACAGTTATTTACATTACGATTCATTAACAAGTAGCAAAATTAGTTATGAAGTAGCAACGAAAATAATTTTATGGTTGGGGGTCACCACACCATGAGGAACTGCATTAAAGGGTCGTGGTAGCCAAAACTGGTTCGGTTCAGTGGATAGAGCGGACTGAAAGGTCCCAGGTTCGAGTCCGGTCAGGGGCATGTACATTGGTTGTGGGCACATTTCAGATAGGGGGTGTGCAGGAGGCAGCTGGTCGATGTTTCTCTCTCATCAATGTTTCTAGTTCTCTATCCTTCCCCCTTCCTCTCTGTAAAACAGCAATAAAATTTATATATATATATATAAAATAAGGGTTATGGCATTAGAAAGGTTGAAAACCACTGCCTTACTGATAAAAATTCGACTAACACAAGTTTTCTAAGTTGTATTATATGCCATTTTTTTTACAATAAAGTTAGAGAAAATATTAAGGAAATCAAAAAGAAAACATTTGCAGTGCTGTGTGTATTCAGTGAAAAAAACCCACATATGTGGACCCACATGGTTCAAACTGTGCTATTCAAGTCTCAGCTGTATTTCTTTATCTTCAGACCCCCAAACACAGCCTGACTGAGCAGCGTGGTGCAAAGAGGCTGAGCCAGCTCTTTCATAATCACATCCTTATGAAAGTGTTGGGCCGATTCCTTCCCATTTGCCCTTGCAAACGTTCTGTTCTTTCATCAGTAGCATTGGATGTGCTTGTGAGTTATACTGGCTTAATATAGAAGCAAATAACAAGCCAAAGCAACGGGAGTGCCTGCAGGGAAAGATGATGTCTGTTTCTTTCTTTAAGGAAAAAGGATGCATCAATGAAGGAGGCCCATTTCCCTCATGGCTGGCTTGGACTGTTCTCTAGAGAGTGACTGAGCGGTGGCCCGAGTGCAAACACACAGCTACCTGAGAACAACCTGTCTCGGAACTCACCTGCGGCAGAGAACAAGGTGGAAGGCCGAGCCAGGTCGTGGGGGTGGTGGATGGCTCCGAAGAGACTGGGGCCTGGCGGACGGCTCAGGAACTCAGGTTTCAGTCCGAAGTCCAGTTTATGTGGGTCTGACTGCATTTGTTTCTAAAGCAGCAAAGGGGGGAGAGAACAGATGATGTCCCAGAGGATCGGCAGGGAAGAAAGACATTAAAAAGGGGCTGAGACCGTGAGCCTCTGCTGGGTTTGAGTGTACGAATGCCGTGAGGACCCAGTGACCCGCACGCACACAGTTTAACCCTCCATGCCAGGAGGGCAGCATCTGTCGCTCAAACCAGAAGCTCCAGTGGCAATAAAATCATACTTTTATTTACTCAAACCACCGCCCCTCCAAAGTAGCGTGTAATTCCAAGAAAAGGCCCATTTTTAGCAAGTTTAAAATAAATGAGCATAAAGCTCATTTTATTAGGAATTCTGCACGAATATTCTTCTGTGTAAATTAATTGTTTAATGACTCTTTACCATACTCTAATAGATCACAGTACATTAGGAACTGAAAGTTATGAAGAAATATTTGCATGCCTACAAGCTAATTTTCAAATGATCATTGTTACACACTTAAAAAAAACACAAACAAACCACGAAATAAAGTAGGAATATTAATTTAACTAATAGGGGTCTTTTCTTTGCCCATTAACCCCAATTACTTGAGATCAGTCCAGGCCAGAAAACCACCAGGAACCTCTCACTGTGAAGTCCTTGCCATCAACAGCAATAGCACTACCGTCCTCTTCTTTCTACGTCTGCCCCCAAGCTCACCTGTCCGCTCGCCTTCCCCCTGGGCTGCAGGCATTGGCATCCAATCTGCTTCCCGAGTCCTTAATACACTGTCTTTTTTAATGGGCAAATACCAATTTTATTTTTATACCACAGCAATATATATTTCAAGATGAAACTTGAAATTGTCATTTAATAGTATTATTTTTTCTATTACGGTTACATTCAATATTATGTTGTATTAGTTTCAGTGTACAGGATGGTGGTCAGACAATCACATACTTTACAAGGTGTCCTCCCTGATATTTCCAGTACCCACCTGCCACCATCCGTAGTTACTAGATAACTACGGATTTGACGTATTTCCTACCAGGCAGTACTCAGACATGATCATTTCGAAGCTGCCCTGCCTTCTCGACTTTCAGTAGCTCTTTCTCTGAATCAGCCTTGCACCCCTGTGGACAAGCACCAATCCCTTCCCCACTCCCCCGGGCCGGGGGTCCAAAGCTCCGGAGCTTCCCTGCCCTTGTCACCTCCTCCAGTTCCCTGTCCTGCACGGCCCTTAACTGCCTCTGACACTCTTGGCCCACGGGGTTCCACTCCTCCACCAACTCCCTCCTGTTCTGCTGTAAGTAAATCCTGTCCCGCTGTCCAAGTCAACACGGTGAGTATCAGAGACGTCGTTGTTCCTCAGGGCTGCTGGCCGCCAGCCCACGCCTCCGTCACACCTACTTAGGATGAAGCTACCTGAGCACTGGGAGCCGGCCCCCCGGAAGCAGGCAGCACGCTCACCCTTGGTTAGGGGCACCCTGATCCTCGCCACTGAGCTCTAAGCAACAGGAACGGGGCAGGGGAGTGCCCTCGGCGCCCGCCGGGCACAGGAGGGAGCCTGCAGGCGGGAGGCTCTCAATAAGGATTTGGTGAGTGGCTAAAAGAATGAGTAAACAATCGTTAAAGAAAAAGGGGGGCGATGTAATCTCTGCTCACATCTACAGGGAATACTGTCATGGAAGTCCTGCTATAAAGTAATAGCCAAACCCCTAGACGAAGCTTCTAATTCACTATAAATCTATAAAAATCTTTTGAATGGCTCCTTTAATTTGGTTGCCAAATTATTTAGTGCTAATAGTGCACGGTACACAGCACAGTTCCATTAACCACAAAGCAGGTCCATGAAGTAAAATGGCGCTTGGGGATTCCAGAGCGTTCGCCGGAGAGGGAAGATGAACAGCACAGCCAGCTCGTGGGGAAGAGGCCTTCCTAATTGAATCGGGATAATGAAGGTTTTCGTCCCCGGGGGCATGTTCATGGAAAGGAAGTGGCTCAAAGGGCACCCACAGCATCCTTCATCTCTTACTGACGGACATGTCTGCACCTACCGTCCACCAACCACAGCACCCAGAACAGAAAGCGAGGTGAGCCAAGTGTCAACATCTAGTTATCAACTCTTCAAGGTGTCTCCCCACCCCCACCATTACAAACACAGCCAAACCACAAGGCTTCTCATTAAACCTCCCCAACAATGAAGGAAAAGCGAGCAGAGCTCACCGATAGGATGTTATGAGAAAGAGCAGGTATTTGCCACCAAAGCAAATATCTGAGTGGCTCTCAAACTTTTAAAGGTTGGTTCTTAAAAAGCCATGTAACCATTAAACAAGAAACATGAAAAAAACAAAAACAAAACACACTTCTGTGGTCACTTGCTTGCCCTCCATGTTATTGCCTTCTTATTCTCCTAATGGCTCCCAAATACTATTGGGACTAAAAACTTATTATTGAAAACCTGGGTTCACTGAAGTTTGTTGTAGTGACTGGGGGAATCCCCTCTCCCCCTCTCTTTTCCAGGGGTAGCTACACAGAATGTGAAACCTGCCGAAATCGGTTTGGCTCAGTGGATACAGCGTCAGCCTGCGGACTGAAAGGTCCCGGGTTCGATTCCGGTCAAGGGCATGTACCTTGGTTGCGGGCACATCCCTAGTAGGGGGTGTGCAAGAGGCAGCTGATCGATGATTCTCTCTCATTGATGTTTCTAACTCTCTATCCCTCTCTCTTCCTCTTTGTAAAATATCAAAATATATTTAAAAAAAAAGAAAAAAAAAAGAATGTAAAACCTAAGTCATCAGGTACTCTGCTCCTTACCCCAGTGATGTCATAGCTGGTCACCTGCAGAAGTCTGACCGCTTCCCTATTTTGCCCTAAAGGCCTGGTGAAGCACGCTATGTGCCCACCTGTGTGATGGGAACAGATGGAAAGGAAAAGCCACCCGTGGATAGGGGGAGACTGGCTGGTCATTCTGACAAGTACAGACTGGGTTCTAACCTCGGGCACCGGTCATCAGGAGGGCCAGGGCAGACCAATACTGCCTCTACAGGAGTCATTTTGAATCTGTGTCTGGCTAATGCCAGTTCTGAAGTGTCATATAGGGCTTACATTCCTCTGTCACTTCCCTAAAGCTCTAAAATGAAAAGAACACACCCTTCTTACAGGGAAGAAACCTCTTGTACAGGTCTTCCCGCTGCTCCACTCCCCCTGAGACTCTCTCAGGGTCTGCGATAATAAACCTGTCCCATTGGAGGCACCTGGTCTACCGGTTTTCCCTAAAATGGTTAATTATTTTGGGATCTCATCTTTTTTCAAGGAAAAAAAATCATCAGAGAGTTGTCAGTTTGCCTCTGTTTTGTCTTTTTGCTGGTGGTTTCCCCAATGAATAGTAAGATTCTAAGCCACGTTTTAATAGAGACTGGATCCTGCCTGCTAGGGGTCTTCGAATCTGTTCACATGCTCCCACGTGGGGAGATCACACGTGGTGGGGAGATCACACCCGGTGGGATCACACACGGTGGGGAGATCACTCGTAGCCTGGGCCCCTACCGGGCTGAGGAGGCGGACTGACCTTGACTTTCTGTTGGTGGTGGTAGATCTGCCAGGCGATGTGCACGTGCATTGCACACCACTTCCCTGGTTTCTGCAAGAGAAACATGACGTGGTCAGGAGGCCTTTCCGAGAAAACCGCCTTCATTTCCCCAAAGCTTCCAGCAGATTGGGGCTACCGAGGCTTTTTCATGAGACAACAGTGTTTACCCTAGTGCCTCTGCCCGAGGCTTCCCAGTGCCCAGGCCGAGGGAGCGGCTGTGGTGTGCCGTCTTCCCACCTGGAGGCAGGGAACCTCTCTCACACCATTTGTCTTCTTCCTACGTCAATCTACCCAGGAGCTCCAGGTGTGTGCTCACTGACTATGGGCTGGGAGAGGACAAACAATGCTCATCCCCATGCTGGCAAAGGACAGCCACTTCCAGTGTGGACAGGAAGGAGTGGGTTCTAAAACATATACTTAAATCCAAGTCTGCGTCAGTGTTCTTTTATAAGGAAATTATGGGTCATCACCTAAGTGATGGCACAACACCCTTTTTCCCCCGTTTTTGAGGAATTGAATCATCTGATGTTACACACCAGAAACAGATCCAGCTATCCATCTTCCAGCCAACCATTTCTCCACCCCCCCCCCCCCCCCCCCCGCCCCAACCAAGTCCATCAGCGTTCATCCGGGGTCATCTGCTGGCCATGCTCCAGCCCTCTAAAGACATTAGCTTGCCAAGGCTCACGGGCACCCTTCTCTGCACCGGGGAAGTAGGCCAAACAGCCACGACCTGTTGATGCCATTTGCTGCAGAACGAGGCAGCCCCAGCCCAGGCAAACAGCCCCGGACTTTCTAGGTGCAAGACGGATGGCAGGACCTGGGAAACCCTACTTTTAGCCTGTGGTCAGTTCTTCCCTTCAAGTTCCCACTAGCCCAACCTTTTACCAGAGCTGCTAACAAGAGCATCGGACTACGGTGGATTTCTCTGTTAGCTTCACCTCAATAGCCTGGCTTCCTCCAACACGAAAGCAGAACTGTTCGGGCCATTTGCCATCATACCACCTGGGACACCCAACCCAACCCAATCCAACCCACGGAAAGGTCACTGCAATGTTCCATTCCCGAGCTCCTGGGGCTTGTTTCCTCAAAGTGGATTTGTGTTTTTAACCCGCAGGGAGTCACCCAAGAGGCTGCGAAAACAGTTCCAGAAGAAGCTGCTTACCCTTAACATGGGTCTGAAAGGATCTGTCAACTGTGAAGAGAAAATGACAACTTGGTTACATGCCTGTCACTCAAACAATTGCTCTAATTAACAAATTTGTAGTGCTTCATTAGGAGGGGAAATTAAAATGTTAGAATTTTACTTTTAAATGAAGCCCTTTTGGAGGATAATTAACCCGTTTTCACACCATCAAGAGTGCCAACTGTCCCCTCCCCCACGTCACAAGCCCTGGTGGCTGCACTGACAAGCCCCCTGAACAAGTTCAATCAAGAGTGGTCTGCCCTTGGGCAACAGGATCTGCTCACATTACACATCTGAGGAGTTTCACTACCTCAGGCAGCCCCTCCAAACCATGCGGCCTGGGTTCGAGGAAGAAGGGCCATCAGACCGTGGACACGCACGGCTGGATGGGAACGGGCATCTGGGGAGCGTGTCCTTCCTGACACGGAGCAGAACTAGGCTACCTTGATCAACACCCTTAATTCGATGGCTGCACGGTACTAAGAGGTATTAGACTTTGTAAAGAAGTTCACTAGACATCATAAACATACTTACATAGTTGAGTCATTTTAAACTTCTACCTAACTCTGGTCACCAATTTCTGACTGCCCTTACCCAGGGAAAAAGACAATATTGTAAAAGGTTGTCATTTTGCACATGTACTATAAAGATGAGTGTAAACAACAATCAATGAACGAGGTTATATATAACTTTAAATTCTTTTTTTGAGAGTACGTAGAGGCAGACACTGTGAATAAGTAACACAACCACAGCAAAATGGACATTTTATGTTAGAGCAGAGCCAGATTTTCTTGACTCCAGGGGAAAAAAAATGCTCAGTGCTTTTCTATTCAAAACATTTTAAAGTTATTTCTTTTGTGTTAAGAGAAATGTAAGGACATCCAGATGGAGAAGATGAGCTGAATGCTACCTACACGAGCTAGAAGTGTGAGATCCCTGACCTCAGACTGTAAGCCATTCCTCTGTCCCCAAGTCGGCACGCCCTGTCCGGTGGCCACTGGTGAGCAGAGGAGACTTTATTTTCGAAGAGTAACTGGCCTTTTCTTTCACAAACTAGAAGGAACAGTTCAGAGAGCAGCCCAGTGGGATGAGCTAAAGAAGGAGCGAGCTCTGGGCTGGCTGTCCCATGCAAAACCCCCTTCCCACTCTGTTACCTGGGATCAAGCCCGACTTTGTACGTACCCTCGGGTCCTTTTGAAGCAGAGTGTGCGGGACTGTCCCAGGCCGAGCAGCAACATCGATAGGGTTGGATGTCTACAAATTAATCAGACCACAACTGAAGGAGCATATCATGTGTATCACGACATGCTTTCACTCAAAATTACATAAGTCAAAAGCCGTTGTTTATGTTCAGTTCTATGTGGAGGAGTTTCAGGTGCACGGCGTGATGGTTAGACAATCATACCCGTCAAGGAGTGCTCCCCCTGATATTCCCAGCATGCACCTGGCGCCATTCCTAGTTACTACAATGTTACTGACTCGATTCCCTAAGCTGCACTTCACGTCCCCGGGACTGTTCTGGGACCGCCAATTTGTACTTCTCAATCCCTTCACCTTCCTTTTCGCCCAGCCACCTATTTTGTTTCATTCTGGAACACACGAGTTTACAACTTCCTTTTCCTCAGTGACCACACATGCACCCGCCAGGACCCACGACTTTGCTCTCCAGGCGCCCTGGGCAGAGACTGCCTCTCTCCAGCAATGGCACCTGAAGCCAGAGGCCAGTTCGCTGCAACAAAGAGGGCAGGACAGAAGGAGGATCAAGACTTGGAAACGCTGTCCCGGAACTGGCCATTCGCAGTCCCGTCACCGCTTTATCACCAAACAGGCATTCCGAGACTGCTTAAGTGAACATCCTCCTAATTTGCTCTATCAGGTGCTTCTCATCAGAATAACTGGAAGTGTTGTACAGACATTAAGCGAACTCTCTAAATTTCAACTGGCAGACAATAACAAGGAATTATGCTCCGTAATTACTCATTAGCAGCGGTGGAAATGGGACAGGAGAACCTAATTTAGAGACCACCCAGATTTGCATTCAGTGATTCCTAAAGTAATTCTGCTTCATCTTTCCTATTTCCACACCCTTCTTAGGTCTCATTAATAACACTAACCCTATGTGTAGGCTTCTGTCCTTTGAATTAACAATAGCAACAAAAAGCCTACTTTTGGCACAAGCAGCCACTACTTCCTAGTGGGTCAAGGATTCAGAAGATTTTCCCCCAGGTATTTTATTCAAGAAATCACAACCTCTAAGAATCCCTTCACACCAGGAAGTAACTTGGGGGAGAAGGCATAGGGGAGAAAGCTCAGGTTTAGGCACAAAGCTTGCCTACAAAGAGGAGGAGGGGGAAAAAAAGAAAAGAAAAGCAATCAGCTGCTGTACAACCAACAATTAAGCTGGAGTTGTTAACAGCCTGATTTGCATACATATGAAGAACTCACTAATGAACTGCAATCTACATATTCAATCAGTAAGATGGCCTGGAAAGGCCTATTTCAACACCAGGAGAGACACTTTCTTGCCCAGATGTAGTTTTCTGTGTGATTGGATAATTGTGAGTGAGGGAAATAGTCTAATTTATTAAATGACCTACCAGTCTGTTTGGGGATGTGCGAGAGATTTGTGGAAACCTAGAGGGGACAGACCAGGGTCTGGGGGAGTAGTCCTGAGCAGATGGGGGAAGGAGTTCAAAAATCACCATTATTTTATCCTAAGACAGGAGGTGTTTAACACAGCCGTCGTAAAAGCCTTGTGTATATATAACCTGGCTTATAAACTGTAACCCTGAGCAGGTAAATATGGTTTTTAAGGTGTAGCCACCCACCCTAATGCTTTTTAATTTCTTTTCCTATTTTTAGTATTAAGGCAGCAAGCTTTTGGAAATGTAATATGTGCTCATCCTGGGAGACTCTGGCCCCAAATAGGTATTTTTGTCTAAGAGATGAGATGGAAAATAACAAGAAAACCAGTCTCACACACTCAAATTTCTTCTTTAAAATCTGAGAAGGGTTCCTAGCATGAGAAGTACACTGTAGGTTTTGTTGTTGTTTTTAAAAAAAAAATTTTTTTTTAATTAAAGTAAGGTAAGGGCTGTAGCAGATTTAAAATCATAAAAGGGTCGAATTTCCGGGAATTACCCCTCAGTCTTGACCCTCAGAGGTAACTGTGGCACAAGTTCAGTAGCATATCCCTGATGAGGTAGGAAAGGCTAATTTCACATCAGGATGTCAGCGATGCCAGTACCTTGGCTTTGGCAAGTGTCCGGTGCAGGGGAGGCTGTGCAGAGGAGGGGTGGAAGTGAGGGTGGAAGTGAGGGCGGGAGGACTGAGGGGCAGAGGGGAAGAGCATGGAAAGCTGGTGATGCTCTTTGTGAGCAGACATGGGGCTGAGGGGAAATGAGGGAGGATAAAAATCCATAGTTAAAAAGATGTAATTTTATTCTGGAACCTTTTCCTTCCCTTTTGTTAAAATCGATAAAGGCTCAGCTTTGCATTTTTGCTAATAAAATACACCCCCAAGGACAACTTTGTGCACATACATCTGACATTTGACAGAATTCTGATCAGACACTTATGCCCACAATTTTGGTGGGAAAATACACATATATTCTGATATATTTAAAGAGCACAGGAAATCCTAGCTTGACTGAGATGACATGGGTAGTACAAATTGAAAACTGAATTCGGCTAAAGTTTAAAACTACATGGACTAGAAAAAAATCCCCACTCTGACCCCAGAGAAGTTACAGGTGAGAGATGGTAGAACCCACCGCGTGCTTGGCCTGAGGCTCCACTTACAAGCACGCGCGTGCATCTCCGAGAGGTGCTTACCTTCGGCTGAAATGCTCCTTGAAGTGAACCAAAAGGGCCAGTGGGCGGAATCATAGGGGGGATGCCCGACACCGCAGGAGGGTAGGAATGGAAGAGCTGTGGCCAGAGATGGAGAGGGAAAAAGCCGTTAGCAGGAGGTGAATGAACGATGCGCTCCAAGTCCCATCCCACAGAAAGACAGCGACATTAGCAAGCCAGGCAATCTCAGGCTGATGCTATTAGTCAAGAAGCCACGATGAAATGATCACACAGATGTGCCACGAATGCTTAACTCAGAAACTTAAAAGTAGTTCAGAATCAATCAGTCAACAAATGATGTCCCAGATGAGGACATCATTAGAAAGGGAGCTTTTCTAATTATTAATTGTTAAATCGATATCAGTCCTAAACGGTTGGAGGTTTTAATGCATATAAAAAACAGGAGGGGTGCTGAGCCAAATAAGATGCCCAGAAAATTACAAGTTAATTAGAAAAAGAAAAAGAGGAGAGGAAAAAAAAAAAAAAAGGAAGAAAAAGAAGCAAGTCTTTATGAGTTCCAGGATTTTGTACCATTAAAACTCAATTAGCTCTTTTAGATTTTTAATAGTTTGAGGAAATGAGAAAATATTCACAATCCTTGCTTCATTAGGTTGTTCTAGAAGTGGCAGCTCCAGAGGACAATGTAATTGTCTCATCTGAATTGATGACAAATATTTGTGGGAGGATCAAATAACAGGACTCAATATATATAGACCTTCAGTGGAGCCACCCATGCTTCCACAAGATGGACAAGTTCACTGGAGGCTCCCAGTCAGAGAAGGGAGAAGAATGATTCTGAATTAAGTATGTAAATTTTCTTGAATTAATAGTTTATAGACAGCACAGTGGAGGAAAGAAATATAGGGCAATAGTGAAGACAATGCAAACACATCTTTTCCTCTAAAAACTTTTGAGATTCTATTGCTCTGGTTCCTATTTTGATCCAACCACCCTGCAGATATTTCAGTAACATCCCCCCTATTTGGGTGTGTGTGTGTGTATGACTATAAACAGTAATAATTTAAGCTTTCCTAATAACGCACTTACGTTAGCTATTTCTAGGTAATGCCTGAAATCCACATTTTAGAATCCTGTTCTCGTTCTTTCATTTTCTCCATTCAATGATGCAGCAAAGTTTTCCAGACTAATTGATATTGAACTACATACACTTAAACAGTGATTGCAAGCCAAGAGCCCTCATTTAAAACTACTTTTAAGTCTAAAATTGTGTTTTAGATACTCGAGTGCATTGCATCTTAATTCCCCTTATTACGTCCGAAGGCCCAAAGCAGGGGAGACTAAGCATTTCACATATTACCCACGATAACTAGTAATATGAAACAACTCCCACAGTACACTGCATGAAGCAGATTAATTAAATACATACCACACTAAAACACACCCAACTTTCTTTGCTCTGTCTCCAGGTGGGGGTTTTTACTTTAATGTTGTCAATAAAAAATGGTGTTCTCACCATTTTCCTTTTGCCTGGTTCCATTGCTGACGCTCTTAGAATATAGCTACCAATCCCCCCTTGACTAAAAATCTTCAGTATGCAAGCGATAAAATGTAAACCTTCCAAAAATCCAGGTCCCCAGGCTCACTCTCCAGTTTCAATCTAGAACTCTCTGAGGAGTATGCATCAGAAAGGCAAGCCACCTGTGGATGCCCAACTTTCTCTAAGATGGTTTTGTTAGCTGGGCCTTAATTCAAATCAGTAAGATAGGGACAAAGGATAGGAGATCTGGTGGTTGTTAAGATGGGGTCCCATGAGCTCAAACACGCTTTCCATGTCCCTTTCTGAAGAGGCCTGCCTTGTGTTGTTTCTGAACGTCTTAAGACTGGTTCTTCATTGTTTTCCAGTATTTTCTAGTCTTGACTCCTCAGATACACCAGGACTAATACAGTGTCTAATTATCTGGTTTTTAGCATGAATGAATCCACCTATTAAGTTGCACTTCTAATTAAATGATAACACTGTTCAAAAAAATCAAAGCAAGAACAGTTGAGGATGGTGAGTGAACATGGCTACAAGCAATTATTAATCCTCCTTCCTCCTGGTTTCGTTTGAAAAATACTAATAAGCCACCGGGCAAAGAAACTTGCACAATTTCAGGTAAAAATGATGCAGTATTCACTCCGCAATCAAAATATCACGGTAAGATCTTTGTATAAAGAGAAGGCCTTGTCTTATAATTGACTGGACATAAAACTGAGGCTGGTACCAATGTGAAGGTCCGGACCAGACTCTTAAAATTGTGTGAAACAAGTATACTTTTTAATAAAGAAGAATGAGCTTAAAGAGAAAACAATCATCCATTTCATTTTTAAGGCCTTCATTTACATATCTTTGTTTTCAGTCGTATTAAGCCACGGGAGGACTAGAGCAGCAGGTGCTCTGCGGGCAGTCGAAACACCTGCCTGGTGAAGAGCCCTGAGTCAGAAAGATAAGATACTTTCTATTTCGGAGGAAGTAATTCCAGTCAAATTCCAGGAATTGTGTAGTTGATGACATTTCAACTGCTGACCGAAACCCTGAAAAGTACGAGTCAACGGGACACCCAATCCCTTCCCCCGCTCTGCGGGACCGATGCCCGGCTTCCAGGGAAGTCCAACGTGGCTTCCAGGGAAGTCCAACATGGCTTCCAAGACTTAGGTTTACTTATGATCTTTTGATTCCAAAGACGATACTGCATCTTTACCCAAAAGCAAACGTCACAAAAGCAAGCATCCAAAAGTGACGAGGAGCAGTGGGCCTTCTTTGCGAAGATGATTAAGGAAAGCTGCTAGTCACTCGTGGGTCTGAGGCGAGAGCACGGAAAATGGAAAAGCGGTTACATGGAACGCATAGCATGGTAGGAAGACTCACACTGTGCCGGTAGAATGGGTCAACCTTTGTAGGGTATTTGTCAAACTGTAAAGGGATTAAAGCAAAAGCTAGTTACTTGAGAGAATCTGCATTTCTGTTCCCTGCTTCAGGGAGGTGGCCCTACGCACGCTCCGCTCAGTAGGCTGCCACCAGACCCCACGACCTCATTGTACACGAAACCATACGAGCTCCTGAGTCACTCTCTCTGACAAGAAACCAACCGAAGTGGAAAAACAAAGTGAGAACCCACATGGCGGTTAGGTCCCCGCCGCACTATTGTCTCTCGTACTCAGTGCTCAGGGGCTGGCCCAGACCGAGCATCTAATCTGGAGAAAGAGGCAGTTACTCGGGCAAATGGGAGAGAAGGCAGCATCTGACCTATTTGTCCAGAGAATTCCTCCATTTTCACCTTCACTTTGGCAGAAGAATTGTCCATTCAGCTGTCTCCTGAAATGCATTAGGCCCAACACAGAGCACTTGGGGCTAGGGCGCATAAGCTTTTTCTTGAGCAGAAAAGAGGGTGCCATTGTTTCCTCTAAATAATGCTGTCACCTGGGTGCTGTAACTCCCCACTGTCCGATGTAACGTATTCATGAAGCACCTCACTCAGGCGGCATAAACACTTTCCCAGCCTAACAAGCCCTTGAAGATGTAACGGTTGAAAAGTCTAATGCCTCCAGAAAAAGAAAAAGACACAGGATTCGGTCCCAAGACCTCATCTCTAATCTTTAAATAAATTTATAAAATAAACTTTTATATTAAATATTAAAAAAATAAGTTGAAAAGAAAAATGGAGGAGAGCATGGGAAGAGAGGCAACAAAATTTGGTGAAGGGAATGCCTCTTAATATCAGGAATTGAGCCCGGCTGATGCGGCTCAGTGGTTGAGAATCGACCTGTGAACCAGGAGGTCACAGTTCGATACCCAGTCAGGGCACATGCCCAGGTTTTGGCTCAATCCGAAGCAGGGGGTGTGCAGAAGACAGCAGATCAATGATTCTCTCTCATTGGTGTTTCTATCTCTTTCTCCCTTCTCCCTTCCTCTCTGAATTCAATAAAAAATATTTTAAAATATACTTATTTTAAAAAAATAATGAATTGAATCTCTTCTCATAATGCCTATATAAACTGCCTTAAAAATCAAGTATTTAATTTGATATTAACAAAAACTAAGCAAACCACTCTAGTACTGTTGTGGACAAGGCTCCGTTCCAGGAGTCTTAGCATCCTAATACAGCATTAGTTACTAAGAATCCTAAGTTGCCAAAAAGTCCGAGCGAGTTCTCCCAGCATGCACTGGACCCCAGTCAAGACTAAGACCACGGTCATGGCCAGCGATACCTCTTACTGGGGCTGGGCTCTGTCCCTGCAGGGTGCATGGCTACCTGGCCCCTTGCCGACAGAGCACAAGAGCAGACGGGCACCATCTTATAGAATACAAGAAATTAAAATCCTCCAGCATCTGAAAGGGCAGGCTACCCCATGTGTCCCAAGTCTCCTGACCACCGTCAGCCCCATATTCCTGCCCCTGGCACTCTCTGAGCATTGATTTGTTAGTATGGGTGGCAAAGCCCTGGCAGAGAGATTTGTGTATCTGGTGGCGACCCCCAGCAGGTTCTAGAAAACAAAGTTGCCTGTAAGTCAAATTACGTGCCAACACTGGCTTCGACCGTTCTGAGGGCACTCGGGATAAAACGCACCCACATGCTGGGGAGATCTCTGGGGAAGTTCCTCCTTTAGGCACCGCCCCTTCCTTCCAGCCAAGACAAGACGGACAAGGCCCAAGGAGCCCCCAGCCGCCGCCACTCCCCCTCCGATCTCCCGCCCCGGGCGCCCACTCCCCGCCACCGCCGGCACAGGGAGCCGTGCTCTACTTATCCTCACATTTCTGCCTGGGGTACGCACCATGGGAGGTGCTGGCGTCGGCATGATGGCGGTGGGCGGGATGGCGTGGGGGAACGGCGTGAAGGTGTGCTGGTGCGTGTGCTGGTGCGTGTGCTGGTGCTGGTGCTGGTGCTGGTGGAACTCGGTGCGCAGGTAGGGCGGCGGGCCCAGGGAGGCCCCGCGGTCCGCGCTCTGCGAGGCCAGGAAGCGCGTGTTCAGCTCCTGCCGCAGGATGTCTTGCTCTGGAAGAGAAGGGGAGGAGGAGGATGGCACCTTTCCTTGCAACAGGCATTTCCTTCAGAATGGGACATCCTCGTGCCTGAGCAAGGAGGGGCCGGGGAGGAGGCACAGGAACGGGGCTCTTGGGGTGCAGCTGGGGCCTCCGATGGAGGCCGACGCTCACAGGGCCCGGCCCCAGTGCGATCCTCCTGCTGTCACGCGCTCGGCTTTGGAGGTGGTGTCCCGAAAGGCTCCAGGCCAATGTCTCAGGTCAGCTTTCCGCTCTGGGGCTGCCAGCCATGGGCATGGCTCACCACCCTTCTGTGCCAGCTCCCTCACCTATCGGTGGACGCTCCTGCCTACCTCAGGGGTTTGTTTTGAAGGTTGAAGGGATTAACATTGTACCAGCAAGTGCTTAAGAACAGTGACCGGCATGCTAATGAACCGCCAGCTGTTTACAGGGCAGAGCTCACGTCAATCTGTGTGACGACTCTCTGTACCAGGTCTAATATCGCTACTGTGGACCCGAAATGGGGCACCGGTCCTGACTAGCGAACACAGGTGAGGAGAAAAGGACCCACGATCCAATGCTAGGCCTGCCCTTACAATTCTGGGGTGCACTGTTACAAGTGCACTGCCCATCCCGGAGCCAGAAGGCCCTGTCCACCCGGAAGAAGCCCTTTAAACCTGGCCCAGTCCCAGAGCCCGGAGCGGGGCAGACAGGGGCCCGGGAAGCCTGGGCCACTGCAGCAGGAGGCGGGCGACAGGGCATGGGATCCGCGTTTCGCTTTAACGGTGGTGACCAAGACTCATGGCTGCAAACACAGCAGCTCTCCCTGGCGGGCCCCCTTTGCCTGGCCTGTGCCAGGTGGGTGTGGGTGCTAGTCCATGTTTACGCGGACTCTCAGCCCACAAAGGATTACAGGATGGCACCCAACAAAACTGTCAGGGACAACAGAGACACGGGTGAGGCCACCGGTGAGGGAGAGCGGGACTCAGGCCTCCGTCCTACCTGAGTAAGTGCTCCCCGCCGGGTGTCCGGGGACCTGCAGGCTCCCTGATGTCAGTGGTGGTGGAGGAGGCAGAGCAGTGGGAGGGGCAAACATATTGGGGTGATGGGAGTGCGCGGGGGGCTGGAGGGCGGGCGTGAAGCTGTGCAGGGGGCTGTGGTTGGGCAGCGAGAGGGGGAACGGGGAGGCGGAGGGGTGGTGGGCGATGTGAGGAGGGGCCGGCTGGGTCTTTGCTGGAGTGCTGCTTCTGCTGCTGCTGTTGGAGACCAGGAGAGAGAGAGAGAGAAAGAGGCAAGCAATTAATTTTCTTTAATAAAAAAAATCCCGTCTCCCTGCTCAGAGCCTTCCAATGCCTTTCTCTGGCTCCTCCTCAGAGGCTCTGCCCTGTGTGTAGCCCCTCCTAAGCTCATGCCTCCCCTGCACCTGCCGCCACCCGCAGACACAGCTACCGTCTGTCCGGACAGCGATCAGGCCCCAAACCCGACCGCTCCCCCTTCAGCAGCCAGGCTCTCCTCTCTGTCCCTGGAGACCCAGCCTTCCCACCCCGCACCAGCCACGCTTCCTAGAAAGCAACAGCTAACACAGGGAGTGGGAGCGAGGACTGGGATCCACCCTGTCTGACCGCCATCTTGGAAACGAAGTCGCACAGAGAAGAGGTGAGCCAGGGAGCTGGGGTTCCCAGTCACCTCTCCTTTCTGGAAGCCATGGAAATGGCCTTGGGCAGAGGTGGGCCTGGCCCACTGGGAAGCCACAGCCCCCTAGCTGGCTGTTTCCTCACCCGTTGCAGATAGGGTAAGGTAACCAAACGTCCTGATTTTTTATTTTAACAATTTGTCCCGCGGCATTTTAAAGAAGTCCCGATTTTTGGAAAAATCGGGACTTTTAAAAAATGCTGCGGGACGCAGGACAAATTGTTAAAAATCGGGATATCTGGTCACCTTAAGATAGGGGAAAGCAAGCCCCTGCACGCCAGAGCCAGACCACTGCCGGGAAAGCAGCAGCAAAGACATCAAGCTCACTAGGCGTGCGGTGCTGGAGTCACAACCCTGGACAAGGCGTCCCGCCTCCCTATCCTCCGCAGCTCTCCTCTGGGCTGGCTTTTCATCCCTCCTTCGCCATTTGGCAGAACAAGACAGAAGCGGGCCGGGGTCTCTCTCTAAGGAACCGCTTTGTGGACACCCAGCTTGTTTCTTCTCCAACTGCCTGACCCACCTCCAACCAGACTGCCCCTCAGTCCCACCCTCCCTGCCTCCGTGAGCAGCTCCTTTCAAACTCCTCCCGCCTCGGGGGCCCTCTGGACTGAACCCTCAGGGGTCTCTGCTGGGCCTCACGCTTCCACTCCTGCCTCACCCTCTGGGCTCCAGGCATGGCACCCTCAGCTCTGCTTCTTCAGCATCCTTCTCCTTCCTGAGCCTTTAGACACTTCACTAGCCAACCCAGCCTGTCCTCTCCCCAGAGACCAAGTCTCACCTCACTGCCCCTTTCTGTCTCTACTTCGGAGAGAACACAGTGACCGTGTTTCAACAAGGAAGTCCTGTCTCCCCGGGAACCTCCCACAGAAGATGCCGAGGCCGGGCAGGAGCAGAGCAGGTGGCTCACCTTAAGCTGTTGAGGCTCAGGCTGCTGCTGTTGTAGGCCGACAGGGGCTGGGGGAGGCTCTGGGCGGCGGGGTGGGCCTGCACGGGGGGCAGGCTCTGGTGCAGCAGCTGGGGGGACTGCAGCCGGGGCGGCCTCTGCACGGGGGGCTTGGGAGCCGGTGGGAGCTGGGCCTCGGGGGGCGCCTGCGGTGGCTGGGTGCTCGGACGCGGGGGCTGAGGCGGGGCCTCCGGGCGCTGCACAGAGTCGGGGTCCTGAGCGGGAGCTCTGGGCTGGGGCTCCGCCTGGGGCGGGGGCGGCGGCTGCGGCACCTGCGGGCAGGGGTCCTTCAGCACCACGGGCTCAAAGATGGGCTCTTTGCCACAGTCCTGGCTCTTCTCCTGGCTTCTCTCTAGACCAGATATCTTGGGGACGATCGGCCCTGCATCCTGGCTGTTGTGTTCAGGAAGTGTGCCAACACCCAACTCCGAATCTGCAGGAGAGAGCAAAGACAGAAGGACAGGCCGTGAGTGGCAGTGGGTGTGGAACAGGAGGGGAAGCGAACTGTCCCCACTCAGCCAGGTCCGAGCTTCCCGCCTGGGTCCACCAGCTGCAGAGATGAGGAGGATGGGGGGCTGCTTTTGCCCCACCCCCCATCCCCGAGTCTGAAAATCAATGTTTTCCTTAATCTTGGCAGAGCCTTTTATAAAGCAAAATTAAAAACAATAGCCGACAAGTTCATTTCTCTGATTAAAAAACAAATACAGTTTTTGGCTATACCAAAGGTAAGTGTTTCCAATAGCAAATGCAGCAAAGCACATGCTATTCAACAACAGCAAGTACAGCGAAGGTTACTTAACCACACACAGATGTTTCTTCTTGGCCTTGCCTCCCTCCCCAATTCCCACTCTGATAGATGAGGCACCTTCACTTTTAGTGAAATAATTTTTTGTTGAGCAAGGGCTAGACTTCTGGTCAAGCATCAAGCCTCCTAATGCTTATCAACTGAGACCAAAAGTTAAATCAAAGTTACTGGCAACTACACCTGCTGAAGCATTAGAAGGATCGCCCCCACCTCCAGGAGAACTCACCACATGACAACACTGAGGCTAAGCCTCGATGCAATAAAGAAAATTCTACAATTCTACAATGGTGAAAGAAATTTGGAAAACAGATGCTCCTGTACGACTTTAAAAGGCATGTGTTCCTCCAAGGGTCATAAGGTTTAGGCTACATCTACCCTGTTTCCCCGAAAATAAGTGTCTTATATTAATTTCTCCCAAAGTTGCGCTAGGTCTTATTTTCAGGGGATGTCTTATCTTTCCATGTGCTAGGTCTTATTTTAGGGGAAACACGGTAGTAGATTTTTAGGGATAATCTCATCTAGCTGATTACTCCATAAGTCAAATTCCATAAAACTCTCTAACAGAATAATGAAAGACAAACAGGGCATTAAATATTTTAAAATGGCCCTATTTATGAGCGAGCGCTTTTGTATACATCTGGCAGAAAGAGGCTCCCCCCCACATTTCTGTGCACAAATACCCAGCCTTTCATTACTGCCCCAGGTATAGGTGGGACTAGGCCCCGGGTCCGCTGCAATGAGGCTATATGCCAGGCTCCCCACACGAACTGCTGCAGCACAACGTTCTCGTCCCACCTCGCCATGTCCGGAGTGAAGAACACACGGCGTGCTCCCTGCCCGGTTCACCTCTGGGGATGTACTTGTGTGTACGACGTCCTGCTCATCTTCCCAGAATCTGCTTCAGAGCAGTTCATTATTTCCAATGTTCTTCTGGTAAAAGAGCGCTGACCTACAGAACACGCACCGAGGCCGGCCTAACGGGGTTTATGGGCAAAGCGCACTTCTGGCCAGCATGGACATGGCCATCGCCCAGCCCAGGGGCCACGCGGGGCGCGCACAGGGACACAGTGCACGGGCTGCAGGAGCGAGGAACAAGCACCCGGGAAGGGCCTGAGCGGAGTAACTCAGACTTCTGACGTCTGCTCTGATGTTATCTCCATCGGGTGCTGCCTTGAGAGTCTTTCCAGGAAGACTTTTGCTTATAATAAGCTGACTCTTTGTGAATTCCAAAAAAAACCCTTAGTTTCCAACCCGAGGGCCGGGAAGAGGGCATCCAGATCCCTGATGCAGACAGAAGAGGAGTTTCCTACCCAGGCTCTGCTTTCCTCTGTGCTTTTTCTGTCATTTCCACAAGATATTCCTCAGCGAGTAATCACATGAGCTCCCTGAAAATCACAGGCTGCGCACCCTGTGGGCTGGAGGTTAGGGCTGGGGCAGATGCCTCACAGAACAAAATAAAAGAGGTTTTCCATTTCCTCAACGAGAAGGTCCCTGTGCACTAGCGGGACTCGCCACCCTCTGGCAGCTAATTGAGGACTGTCTCGCCGCTCCAGGGGCCGGGACACTTGGCTCTCCTCTTGTACTGCTTCGCTTTCTCCGGGCTGCGATGGCGAAGAATAAAGACAGCCAGCCTTTCTATCCCATTAAGTTTACATCCACACTCATGACCTCCCTCCAAACCAATGTCTAGACAAAGCTTCTTTCTGGCATAAAGGTTCCTTTTCCAGGGGCCATCACCAGAGGACTATGCTGCTAAAAAAGCACTTTCGAAATACCTAAGTACTGCATGCATCTAGCGTGCCGGTACGACCCCGCTGGTTCTTTATTTGAGCCTCTAGAATTTGGACCATGCGCTCAAACTTGCAGGAGGTCCTGCAGGTGGGTCTCCCGTTCCGAGGCTCTGAGAAAGCAAATGGGAGTTGGCTTTCTCGTCTCTTCTGTTGCCCTTGTCCTGGTCCCAACCTAAAAACAGGCCGACGGAGTGAGAGGAGGGGGTGAGTCTGGGGGCCACCCACAGTCACTGACAGGGAGACCCAATCCTCCGCCTGCGAGTCCAGGAGACAGTCTGTGATGAACGACAGAAGAAAGAACCTAGAAGGCACCGATTTTGGAACTAGCCCAGAATCTGGGAGCCCATCCAAGCACTTCTCAAACTTCCATGTGCACACAAATCGCCTGAAGACGTGATTAAAATGCAGATTCGAATTCAGGAGCTCGGGGGCGGGGCTCCACACCTGCCTTTCTGAGAACTTCCCAAGAGATGCTGATGCGTGGACCATCCTGTGAGGGGCAAGGCTCTCATCCGACCCTCTCTAACTGGATAGTGAAGAAGCCCAGAGAACTAAGGAACTCGCCTGCCCGAGGCCCCCTGGCTATTTCCTAAGTCAGACACTAACTCTGCCACCACCAAGAGCCCTTTCTCTGATTTACTCTAGGCTGCAAAAATCCTAAAACCAAGTGGGTAATGGTAACTCCAGGATTCATTTAAAATATTTACGTACAATCAGACAGTGTAAAGGATTAGGAAAGTTACAGAGTTGCTAGAACACGCCCCTCCGGCTAAACCTGAAACCTGAGCCAAAACCGGTTTGGCTCAATGGATAGAGCGTCGGCCTGCGGACTGAAGGGTCATGGGTTCGATTCCGGTCAAGGGCATGTACCTTGGTTGCGGGCATATCCCCAGTAGGGGGTGTGCAAGAGGCAGCTGATCAATGACTCTCTCTCATGTTTCTAACTCTCTCTCTCCCTTCCTCTCTGTAAAAAATCAATAAAAATATATTAAAAAAAAAAAAAACCAAAAAAAAACCTGAAACCTGAAAGCTATCATCACTCCAGGTGTTGCTAACTCTGAGCAGGACAGTGGCAGGTTTGGGGGCCGGCAGGCACGTTGGGGCTGAAACGGTTTCCTGACCCCCCATTTACACAGGTCTCTGGAGGCACACACCAGGCATATTAGACATCAAGCGTTCTTGCAGCTAATCGGTAATGCATTTCCTCTTCCTTTCAATTATTCAATAAATGTATCTTCGCAGTTAAGCTTTTTCCATCCTGACAGTCAATTTGTCTTACCGCGCTTCTCCAAAATGGGCAAGAATACATTTTAAAAAAATCATTTTGTACTGCTCTGAATTTGCCAAAAGATGAAATCTGCTGAGGTTGAAAGAAATGAGAATGTGCAAATAGACTGGTCTTATTTAGAAGTTCCATTCATTACATTTTGAGAATCAAAACTCTCTCTTCTTGTGATTATAAAAATAACACATCATGCTAGTAAAGGCATGCAATTTAAAATCACACTGCATACTATACAGTGGAAAGGGTGAATTTACTGCATGCAAATTATACCTCAATAAGCCTAACTCAAACACAATAGATTTGTTTTTACAAACTTAAGGAAAGATTAGAAAAAAATTTGTTTGATTTTGATACAGTTCCCTGGGGAAAATTGGCCCTCTGGTACTTTACCAGGAGAATGTCAACCCACACTTTGGTGGGCAATTTGGCAACATTTAGTCCAAAAAACAAAACAAAACAAAAAACGAAAAGAGTTCCCTTGGTCTGGTATGTAAGGATTTGGCATACACTAGTAAGCACAATAAAACAGCATCATGGTTTGAATTAAAAGTTTGGAAACAACTTAAGTGTAATCATTAGGGGACTGGTTTCATATACATTTGGTACATCCATAGCATGGCAAATACTGCGGCTATAAAAACAAATGAGGAACTCTGTATGATAATGTAGAGCATATGCTAGCTTTTAGGGCAGTGGTCGGCAAACTCATTAGTTAACACAGTCAACTAAATCAGAAATTTAGTTTTACCTTTAAAAACTTTCTGAATAAGACAAAAAAAGCAAACCAGACTGGGGATTTGAACAGTGGTTTGAATATACACACGGAGAGTATATTTTATCTATAATAATAAAAGCATAATATGCTAATTAGACCAGACGTCCTTCCAGAGGAAGCTGGGGCTGCGAGGGAAGCCCGGTTCCGGGTGCCAGAGGGAAGTTGGTGCTGGCAGTTGGGGGAAGGAAGGCCTAGTCTTGCACGAATTTCGTGCGTCAGGCCTCTGGTATACAATAAGAAAACATAATGTGCAAGTTTCAATCATTAGCAAATAAAAGAAATTTTGTGGAAAATATGACTAAAACTAACTTAGAAACAAACAAACCTGATCATAAGAGTGAAATGAAAACTACTCGATAATCAACACCTCAATCAACTCCCAAAAAGGCACCAGATGCATATAGTGTTACCGACCACGTGGGCTGAACCTCCAAGTCTATGTACAGATTCAAGGAACAAATTATTCGTGTCATTTAAAGTGAAAGCCAACAGCAAACATACAACGAAAGGAAGAATAAAAGTATTATTTACAAAAACTGTGTAATTAAGCTCTAGTCAGAAAACATAAGACAATCAGCTAAGAAAAATATTAGAACTATTAAGAGCTCAGTAAGGAATCCAAATAAAGAAAAACCAGAAAAAAAAAAAAAAAAAAAAAAAACACCCCAGTAGCTTTGGTACATTAGCAACAGGAAGTGGAAAAATAAAATTTAAAAAAGGATCCCCTCTTACAGTAACAGAAATCATATAGTAATACTTGGGAATGAATGACAACAAA